GGCAGTGTCTCACCCAGGAGAAAGGCAGCTTACAGACACAACAAACAAACAAATATAGTGCTTCCCCACAGGGCCAGCCCAATATTTTTACTGTCTGAGGCAGAGAACAAGATGGACTGGAAGAGTAACCTTTCTTAAGCACTGACAATGGCACGGGTTTGGACAGTGGGTTTCGATACCATACCTGAAGGCAGCAGGGGATGCTATGCAAACTGCCCGGCCCACAGATCTCTCCTCCAGCACCTTGCTAGCATCTCCAGCATCTGCTGCCTCTCTCCCTAAGTCCAAAGGCAGGGCTTGCCCTAAGTTTCCCTGTGGTCCTCTTTCACCCATTTGCCACTTCTGGAAAATGTCGTTATCAGATCTGTTGCCTCATTTCAAGTGCTGAAGAAATGAAGGAGCCTTGCTCGGTTTAGCACAGGGTGGGGAAATTGGTCGGTCCAGGGGCCACTTTTTAAGCCCCAGAACTCAGAACAGACAGCCAAAATGCAAAACTGAAGCCAAAAGCAGCTAGAAATTCAGCCAACAGAGCTTCCCTTGCTCCAGCTTTGAAAAATGGGTACTGTATTTGGGAATGTTAAATGGTGCAGAATGAGCCTCTGTGGCTTAATTAAAAGGTGAAACACTACTTCTGGAGGCTTCCTGTAGCTGTAATCCTCTTTTTCCTTTTTTCTTTCTTTCTTTCTTGCTACTTCTGGAGGCTTCCTGTAGCTGCAATCCTCTTTTTTCTTTTTTCTTTCTTTCTTTCTTTTTTTGCTTGCTATGGCAGGACAGAGGGCCACAAAAAACAGCTGAGCGGGGTGGTGGTGGTGTAGCTCCTAACAGCTGCAAGGACCTTGTGGGCCATCAGACAGACAGAAGCATAAGGTGGAATAAAATGGCTGCCTCATCCTTTTTCATGGGAGCAGGGCATCTAAGAAGCAGAAGAATGGTGTAAGCTAGGAAGGTTTGGACAGCTGTAAACCACATACATACTGCTTTGCATGTCACTTTTTATAAAAAATGGTACCGTCTTTGTCACAAGCATTCGGTGTATCCTGCTAATTCTCCCTCTCCTCAACTTGAACTATGCTGTAAGCACATGCAACTGTATTTGTGCACATTCATTCCCACCCTAGCCCGGCTTCTCTCCTGTCCTTCCAACATCCCTTTTGTCTATTTGACGATGTTTTTCGGTCCTGCAAAGAGAGGAAGGAGGAAAGTAAATACTGTATATGACAAGAATTTTAAAAGATGAAAAGTCTGATGCTTGTTTGTCTTCCAAATACTAAACTTGAAAATCTGGCTGCCTCCATTAAATTTCATTAAAGGTATTTGTGTAAACTGTTGCTTTAAGCAGTTTTCTCCAGCCTGATGAATGAATGAACAACTTTATTGTGGTATAAAACCATAGGAGTACATCTAGCACAGTTACAGGGTAACTTCAAGATTCATGAACTATATCTCCCATCAGTTGTAGCATTATCAAGTTCCGAGAATCATTGGTGCTGTATTTCAATTCAGCTGAATGTTTAAGTGAAGCTTGGTGCAAAACCAGTTCCTAGGTCTGAATCTCTGCCTACCATACCTAGCCAGAAAGCAATACAGAAGTGCATGCCTTCTTCTGTAAGAAGCTCCTAATTCTTGAACTGTGCTATGGTGGGGTTGCTGCTTTGCCTGAGGCCCTACTCTATATTCTGTTTGGTCTCATTTATAAATCCTGTTCTATTACCGGGGGTGGGGAACAGTCCCATTTTCTTTCCGGGAAACTAGGTGCCAGATGAGCCCAAGAAGTGTTGTAATAATAAGGAAAGCGCTCCATAAAACTGAACCAGGTGAATTCACTCAGGTAACAGATGGACTAATTAAAGAGTAAGTCCTTTGCAGTTTAGCCAAACAGCCAAAGCCAAGTCGTCCAAGGTAAATGGGCCTGACTTTGCAAAGTGCAGCTGAAGCTGGAGGGGAGAAAGTGAACTGTGCTTCCTAAAGCGAAGCAAATGATGGTGAGCTACCCAGGAGGCCTGGCACCTCCTGAGCAATGTGCAGGGAAGCCAGCCATAAGTACCAGGGAGCAAGGGAGGCCCTGTCAGGCAGAACATTTGTCTGCAGTAAACATGAACACGAGTAAAGTCCCCAAGGATCCTCCTTCCAGCTTTGCAAACTTCTGCTTTGGCTGGTCTCACACTGTCAGATAATTTTTGAAAGTTCTTTTCACGATACTCACAGTAAAAGACATAAGCATTTGTAAGTGATATCTCTATTTTCCTGCCACTTCCAGCTGTTAGTCGATGCACATCCTGGTGGTATATGTCACCTGCAGCCTTTCCTTCGTTCCTTCCTTTTTAAATTTTCATTTCCCGATTCCTTTCTCTACTTTCTGTTTTTCTTCGCATCCTGGTGGTATATGTCACCTGCAGCCCTTCCTTCCTTCCTTCCTTTTGAAATTTTCATTTCCCGATTCGTTTCTCCACTTTCTGTTTTTCTTCCTCCCACTTTTTCTTCCTCTCCTCCTCTGCTCTTCTCTTGGAAGCAGGTTTTAAAGGACTTGCAAAGTATTGTGAAAAGCAAAGTTAAAAAAAAAAAAGAGAGAGAGAGAGAGAGTCAGAGACATTAATGCAACACCCCTTTCTTTCCCCTCTCAAACAGTTCCAAGGGAGAAATGCCCCTTTTTCTGCTCAAGCCCTCTTTTCCCTTTCCTACTTTAAACCCACAAAGTGGCTTGTGGAGGCTGTCTCTTTCTGAGCAATGTATTCATATTATTGTGATTGCTGCTGTTGCTGCAAGCAATTTATCGATAAGCAGGGTTTTTTTTTAAAAAAAATTAAGGGTACAAGCACAGTGTTCATGCAGTGGCCATGGCATCTCCAAACCTGGCCCATTTGCAAAGTAAATAAATCAGCAGCAAAATTCATATGTGCCATAATGATAAGGATTGAAATGATTGGTACAGTTTAAAACAACCATGTCAGTGAAGTGGAAAAAACTCAATTGGCTGGCCAAATTAATCAATGCTGCCTGTGTGTCATGTGACAGAAATTTATAAAACAATTTAAATAACAGCAGAATTGATATAACTGAGGTTCTTTTGGCATGTGTGACTGAGCCCTGTGAAAGCTGAACCTAGCCAAAAGCTCACTCAGTCTCTTTATGAAAGACACTAAAGAATTATGTTCTTTTAAAACTGCAGTCCTGTGCACATTTTGGGTGCCAATGTGGAATGGTGAGTACAGTGATGGACTGGAGTCAGGAGATGTGGATTCCAATACCTGCTCGGCCACAGAAACTCACTGTAGGGCATTAACAGTAAAACCACTTCTTAGATACTTCACATACCTTGAAAATGCTGTTTGGATTGCCATAAGTCAAGTGCAACTGGACAGCACATAATACACAGACCCATGTGCTTTGAAACAGCTGAAGGTGTGTTATGTGCTGCCCAGTTACATCTGACTTACAGTAGTCACTCTAAAGGAGTGGTTGCTGTTTCTGATGTGTTATGCGCACAATTATCTTTGGAAAAGAGTTTTTAATATTGCTTTTAAAACCTACTAAACTTGTCTGACCAGGTGCATTTGCCATACAAATGTGATATGTGGTGTTTCCCCCTGTAAACTTCTTAAAGTAAAAGCACAATTGTGTAGTTAAAATCAACTGTGAAATCTCCAGCCTTTGGAGTCCTATCTTGGAAGGTGGGAGACTTTCCTTCGTTGGAGGTTTTTTGAAAGAAATTGGATAGCCACCTGACTAGAATACTTAGCTCTGATTTCCTGTTTCAGCAAGGGATTGGATACAATGAACCTTGGTTCCCTTTTAGCCCTACAGTTCTATAATGTTATGATTTTATGAACACAGTGAGATGTAGTAAGCTTGCATAGGATTGGGTGCTAGTGTACAGTCTATAGAGGTTTACAACTTGCATCATATTCAGCTTTTACAGCACATGTTTGAGACCAACATAGTTCTCATTTTATAAACAGGGGATAACAAAGGAACATAGAACTCATCCTGGTCATTCTATTCTCTGATCCTCCACAAGATGAGCTGAAGTTTCAACTCCGGCACTTAGTGGCTGAAGAGCGCTTTGCCTATTTACGGTCACATCGAACGTGCTGTAGACTAAGAATAATATGTGACTTTAGAAGCTGAGGTTTTCTCTAGTTCCCCTTCTCTGTACTAAATTATAGCTGATTAGGGCCTCAAGTTGCCTCTGCATGGAGCCTAGGAAACAGTGTTTTGTATTTCAGCAAAGCAAATCCCTATGTCCTGCTCTCAATACTTAATTGATTGCCCACTGGGGAAAGATGCATTAATTTTGGCAGGTAGAAGAAAAGTGGTGTTATGGGTTAGAGAGGCTCAAGCAATGTGTGGGTGGATGGGTGGGAACCAGTCTTGGGAATTTTATGCTGTTTACAGCAAAGAACAGATAAATCAAAATCCAAAAGGGCTTTTAAGCAGTTAGTCCAGTATTCCTTGGATTTTGTAAAATTACAGCTCCTTTCTAGCTTTTGAAATCTTGGGCACACACATATCCCAGCTTGGAAATAATACTGTACATTCACTCTTGGTTCATTCCCCACTAATTCTCTTCCTTGCCCAGCTCCTAAACTGAAGGCCTGCCTCCTCACTCCATGACTGGCTCCTTTTCCCCCCCTCTGCCTTATCAGAGTTGTGAGAGTTAGTGTGGTGTAGAACAGTGGTCCCCAACCTTTCCCCCTCTGCCTTATCGCAGTTGTGAGAGTTAGTGTGGTGTAGAGGATGGTGCTGAACTAGGACTCAAGAGACCTGGGCTTAAATCTCTGCTCAGCCGTACAAATTCATTGAAGGTGACAATGGTAAACTATTCCTTGAACATATAAACTCATTGAAGGTGACAGTGGTAAACTATTCCTTGAACATCTCACACACTTCAGAAATCTGATTGGGATTTCCGTAAATCAGAAACATTTTGATGGCACATAATAATAAAAGTGTAATTATGACCTATAGCTTGGAACCTCATAACAACACTTATTTGTCAAAAGCTATCCGAACAGGAAGGTCTTTGCCTGCCAGTATATGGACAAGAAGATCGGAGACAACCTGGCATAGTGAATATTCAAGAGTCTTGGACCAGCCGCTGGAAAGGCCCTCACTCATGTCCTCTGGTGATACCACAGACCATCACAAACAGGTGGGTCCTAGATGAAATCAAGGGGACCAGCCACTGGAAAGGCCCTCACTCATGTCCTCAGGTGATACCACAGACCATCAGAGAGACAAACAGGTGGGTCCTAGATGAAATCAAGAATAAACTCTTTCTAGAAGCAAAAAATTGTGAAACATAGGCTATCGGACTTTGGGCACACCACAAGAAGACATTAATGCTAGGAAAAGTTGAAGGCAGCAGGAAAAGAGGAAGACCAGATATGATATAGATTGATCTCATAAAGGGAACCAGGGCTTTGAGTTTTCAAGAGCTGAGCTAATGGTAGAACATTTTGAAGGTTGATCATTCGTAGAGTCAACATAAGTAGGAGGCTTGGTGACACATAAGAACAATACTGTAACATGTTCTCAGTAAATGACTCTGTGAATATAGTGGGACTGAGAGAAGGGCTTACCCAAAATATCTTGAAAGCTAGGGAGATTTATATGGGGATATGTTCAGAAAGCCTGGACATAAGCCATATAGAGTTTTATATGTTGCAATCATCACTTTGAATTGAGCCCACAAATGGATCAGTAGACACTGAAACTGTTTGAAGAGGAGAGTCAAATGTTCCCTGTAACCAGAGCTGGTCAGTCAGTCTGGCTGCAGCCTTTGGAACTGGGTTAAGTTTCTGAACACCCTTCAAAGGCAGACTCACGTAGAGCACATTGCAGTAATTGAGGCACATGCCACCATTGCCAAATCAGGCATCTCAGGTATCTTTGCTGCTTGTCTTCATGGGTCAGAGTTTTCTCAGAGCAGGGCCTGCCAATGTTATTTTTCGCATTACAACTCCTCAGACCCCCAGCCAGCCAGTTGGCTATGCCAGCTGGAGGATTCTGGGAACTGTAATAAAAAAGGGGACTTCTGTGAGTGCTGAATCACGTGATTGTATGAAACTCTTTTGTGCTTTTTGGGGGAAACAAGGGAGATTCTGAATTAGGGAATTGGAGTTGAGGTTCTGAATGATGGGGGGAACACAGTGCTGATGTCCTAAACAGCAGTCCATTCGAGGCTACTTTTGCTCTGTCCCTCTCTCTCATATAATTTGGATGAGGAGAGGGGTCATACACAAGGGAGTAAAATGTTGACATGACTGCTATACATTCAGGATTACCCCTTAAGGCTCTTTTCAAATTTCTCCCAAAAGCATGGGCATCAGGGATTTGGTCAGCAGACACATTTTCTCTCCGTGGAGAGCAATGTGTGAAAAAGGGTGTCTAAATATGCAGCATAAACATATGCTGCAGAATGAGATTGTGAAGAACTAATTCTGTTGTTTTATGTAGGAGGGCTGGGGAGTGCAGATTTTTAATGTTCCTTCATGTAAAAACATAAGAGCCCTTTTAACATGGAGCACTGTGCAAAGACATGAACCCCTCACCCGCATTTTATAGTGGCACAGCTAGTCTGAACATATCAGAGTTTTAGGACATTCACCTGCCATCCTCCAGGCATTTTGCATGCTGATTAAAGGGAATTGTGACCCAACAGGTCTAGAGGGGGGTGGGTTGGGGGAGACTGCTCTGTAGCACAGGTTCACCAGCTGTTACAGGAACAGGTGCATCTGTTAGATGAATACACACACCTGTAGATTCAGTGTTAGATGAAGAAGAAGAAGATAACTGATAATATGGAAGTAAAATCCTAGCATCATTCCCCAAGGGATAGACAACATTCAGAGGGTGTTTCCTGTGTCCTCCTCATCTCTTGCACTACTCGAGTACTTAAAGCCAGTCCCCTTGACTTTCTTTACTGCCTCATTCTTTGTTCCTTGGATCCAGGCCTCTGCAGCAACACTCTCAAGACAATTATGAGCTTGGTTGCAAAATAAATTCACAGTTGATTCAGATGGCCAGGGGACAGTTGGTGTACTGCACAAAGAGCCCCAGCCATAAATGCATCTTTTACAGTCTCCTTAGCATTATGAACTGTGATGAGGCAGATCTAGATGCCCTTGAGGATTGCCCAGTTCCTTACTGTAATGTATTTCTGTCTGGTGAGTTCTGGAATGGGACATGAACTCAGCTTCCAGGCCCTGATGCCTGTCCTAAGATCAGTACACAGTGCATAGTTTGTAGCAACCTTTGCTTAACTCAATATACCCCTAAAAGCTGAGAATATACAAAAATTTAACCAGTAGGACCTAATCAAACCTTGCATGGGCTAGAGAGGGTTGCTAGACTGTTCTGTTACAGGGAAATCTCAAACCTTAAACACTCAGGGCTGGCCTGAGGGGTGTCAAATGAGCTGGGCAGTCACGTGGAGAAGCAAGCTGGTAACGGGTGTCAACCTGATTTGAAGAGGGCACTCCTGTAGTACAGTGGCTGAGAAAGCAGTGTTTTCAGTAGCATCCTTCTTGATGGACCATCACTCTTTGAACTGCCAACACCACAATCTGACATTCCAGAACAGAAAGCAGTGCAGCAAATAAGAAATAGGTCATTTTTGACCCTTTTTATAAACATTGCTCGAGGAAAGCATGGAAGTATCAGGGCCTGTTACACTGCTGTTTTGCAGCTCTGCTCAAGGGGTACTAATTGGTAACACTGTAAGACTGCATAGTAGCCAAAGTGGGCAGGGATGAGAAGCAACGAGACTAATTTACCCCATATCTCCGAAAGGTACCTAGAAACACTATTGGTGGTCCTTTGAAGCTGATCCAGGGGCTGGGGCCCTTTAACCTTTGATGCCACACCTATAGTTCCCATGTTCTAAAATTTATCCTGAAAAGACATACCACATATATTGCAGGGGAGCCCTTCTACACCCGACTCTCAAAGTCTCAGGGACTCTTTCATATGCAGTCCTTTTTAGGATGAACGCTGCACATTTGCGGTACCCATATGTGCAAAGTCAGACAAATGGGGAGATTCCGCATTGGGTGTTCAAAGAAAGAAACCTTCCCAAGCAGGAACAGTGTGTGTGGTGTGAGAGAGCACTCGGTTAGAGAGGATTTTGCACAAAGAGTAGGGTGACAGTGAAGATGGTGGTGAAGCAAAGAACCTGAAGGGACAAAGGAAGAGTGGAGCCAAGCAGCTGCCTCCCCTTGCTTGGTGACCTCGCAGGACCAGGACCTTGTGTGCACGTGCCTGAGCATCTCTTACCCCAGCAGGTGCTGGATTAGCTTTGACAGAGACATGTTGCCTGGCTTGTTCACTTTGGCAGCTCCAAGACAGGCATCCCCACAAGGGAAAAGAGTCCAGTTGTTTGTGTCTGGCTGAAATGTCTGATTGCGAAGGGCACCTGGCCTTGATTTGGGGCTGGCAGATCACAGCAAACCCTCCCCTCCCATCATGGCTTGTCTCAATTCACTAATCTTTTTCTCTGCTAAATAGTGACTGAAGTCTGTGAGCATGGGGGGTTTTTCCCCCAGGGGAGGGGGATGTGCTTTAGTAATGGGAATATTTTCAGCTTTTGGCTTTCCCTCTCCTCCACCACGCTCATTCTCCCCTCCACCCTCAGAGCTACTCAGAGTCAGTGGTTGAAGATGCCGGTTAATCTGGGGCTCTTAATGGATATATAAAAGCAGGATCAATGTTCCCCTTCTAACCTAATCAACTGAAGCATCCTTCAAACCCTGCCTCTGTTGGCCAGCTATGAGGTATCCAGTGAGCTCCCTAGCTCAGCATCATCAGGTCTCTTTCCAGGGTTCTGTTTCTTTTGGCTGAGGCAGAAGGGGCCCAGAGACCTTTATACGTTGGTAGATCTATCTCCGGTCCCCTTTCAGTTTGTTTCTGTGCCAAATAGGAAAGTAACCCCCTCCCACCACATTTTGAGGCACAAATTCACCTTCATGTACCCAGTTCTTCAGATTATACTATATCTTTAGCATAGGTTGTTCTTATGTGCTATCAAGTTGCTTATGATTTATGGCAACCTAATGAATTAGTAACCTCCAAAATATGCTGTCATTAATAGCCCTAATCAACTCTTGCAATCCGAAGGCCATATCTTCTTTATTGCATTGATTCATCTCTTAAGGATATCTTGCATCTCCCAGTATACATAATGCATAGACAGACAGAGACCCACAGAAGTAAACACAGATATGGTAGAAAGGATGCAACCCTCCTTTGGATTTAAAAGGCATTGCAAAATTACAATTACCTACATTCCTGCCAAGTGCAACTGAAGAAGTGAGCTGCAGTTTATGAAAACTTATGCCAAATAAAACTTGTTTCTTAAGGTCCCAATATTCTTTGTAGTTTTTGCTGCAACAGACTAACACAGTTCCCCCAACCCTTAATAATTGCATGCTGTCAAGTCAATTTGACGTATGGTCAGGGCTTTCTAAATAGAGAGTACCTGAAAAAGTTTATGATTCCCTTCTTCTGGGAGCATCCTGGGACTGTGCAGCTTGCTCAAGGCCACACAGGCTGGCTGTTCTCCCTGGGGGCATCTTGGGCCAGATACCTACCCCCTCCCCTTAGAACAGCTTATTTTAGAGTTCTTATAAGCTACAGTGTCATCAGGGCGGGATTTGGGGTCTAGCCCCCCATTCAGTAGAATGAATAGGAGGGCCCCAAAATATAGCAGAGTTTGGTTTCAGCATTTTGAAGTTAAGTAGAACGTAGAACTACCTAAATATAGACCCAGAAGGAGGTTAAGAGCATTAAGTCCAGAGTCTGAAATTATTTAACTGCAAGAAAGTAATGCTGAAGGGAACTGAGAGTAATATGAATGATCCCCACCCAACAACTCCATTAACCTTTACAATAGACACTTTTTGCAATCCCATCCTCTGGTTTCAGGGATCCAACTCAATTACAGGGAATACAGAATTTTTAAAATCTCTGTACAAAATCTTCCAATTGTATCACGACTTAGTGATTTTTGCTGGGCGTAATAATGCTCACTGAACTCTGTGAACTTCCTTCCTTGTAGAAATACCTAGTATCCCACTGCAAAGGAAGGGGCCAGGTGGGGGGCTGCACGGCAGTTATTGCACGCAGCAGATGTGTACCATTTCATAAAGCAAGGATAAGACATAATTTATGGATGTGTTTCTATCCCGCTGAAGTGTGTGAAGCTCCTTTGAAATTAACCATAGAATCATAGATGTGTAGAGCTGGAAGGGACTCTTAACAGCCGTCAAGTCCAATCCCTGCCAGTGCAGGAAACCTGCAGCTAAAGCATCCTGGACACGTAGCCATCTAAACTCTATTTAAAAACTTCCAGTGAAGTTCTTCCCTCTGAGACACTTCCTTCCACTGTCAAATGGCTCTTAGTTTCAAGAAGTTCTTCTCATTTCTCATAATTTGAGGGAGCAACTAGACAGATGGTTGTCCTGGGCTGATGCAAAGTTTTCTATGCCACAGACTGGCATTTTGTCATTTTGTGCTGGCTGAAATTGTTCTCATTCACACAAGGTGTATTTAATTACCATTGGAAGGTATTTTGCAAGTGTCTGCACAGCAGAGAGTCCAATTAGGTACATTTCTGGGTGTAGTACTTCACACCGTCCTCTGTCATAATCCCCACCCTGCCAGCCCTCTTTATTTGTTCAGTTTACAAAGTGACCTAGTGCTGAACTGACTGTTGTATCCACCAGCTGAAACTTGTTAGTTTCTTCACATCGTCTGTGTATAGACCTATATGTGTTCTAGAAAAAAGAAAGAAACAAAGAATCTTGCTTCTTTTTTTCCCACTCTAGAGAGGAGCAAACAGTTTCAGTCGACAATGATTTTTTTAAAACATACAGTGGGGTCTCGATTTACGAACTTAATCCGTATTGGAAGGCAGTTCTCAGGTCGAAAAGTTCTTAAGTCGAATCTGCATTTCCCGTAGGAATGCATTGAAAACCATTTAATCCGTATCTGCTCTTTTCGTCCATAGAAACTAATGGGAAGCTGCTATTCCGCCTTCTGCCACTAGAGGGGGATATTTTTTCTTTTTCTCTTTTAACCTAAGATGACTTAGCTTTTAAAAAAAGGGAAAAAAAGAGTTCGTAACTCGAATCTAAGTTCGTAAGTCGAGTCCATATAGTCCTATGAGAGCGGTTCGTAAGTCGAAACGTTCGTATGTCGAGCCGTTCGTAAGTCGAGACCCCGCTGTACATGCATTTGTTGTTGCTTGGTCGTTAAGTCGTGTCTGACTCTTCGTGGCCTCATGAGAAAAAACTGTGGCTTAAAAGATTGCTTTAAAACACTGAAGAGCTGCAAGAAAGCAACTCAGCCTTGGGTGTAAGGTTTAATATTCTGGGTGCGCTGGGCAGCAGGACACAACCTCACACCTCCTCCATTCCCATCTTTAACATTTGTCCCACCTCTGCAGGCTGCAGACAGCTCTCCCTTCTTTTGGAAAAGGCCAGCCAGAAAACCTGAGACAACCAGAGAAAATTGGGACCATAGCTGAAGGAAAAGTGGATTGGCAAAGTTTCCTCAAGTTCTGGACACTTGATGAAAACAGTTCTGCTCCTGCCCCCCAATGCCAAACTGCAAAATAAGGTAAGCCCCAAAGCGGTCTTCTCTGCTCTAACCTGACAAGACCTGATCACTCTGAATTAGTGCTTCATCTCCTCCCTGAATAACACTAACCTAGTAACTTTTTTAAAAAATTAAGGATTATTTTTTACAAGAGATATCAGCTGTATGGGTCTATGAGCCTAAAAGAAATAATGGCGAACCATCACACAGCACCCCACTGAAGATACCAGGTCACCCTCGATGTGATCAGGATATACCCCCTCACTGCTCCAGAAGACTGATACAGGAGATCACATAAACCAGAAAGCAAGATGGAACAATGTGAGCAGGAACAACAAAACAAAACAAAAGCTCTGCCTACTGAACAAAATATACCAAATACCCATGGGAAAAAGACTAGGTCTTCTCATGATTAGGTTTATATCATGTAATTGATGGGGGAGGGTGTCGAAATTAACAGTGAGAATTGCAGTACAAGCAGCAAGGCGAATGTTTGTCTAGTTGTACCCTGAATCCATTACTTCAGGGCCTACCCTCTGGGGCTACAGAAAACAAGCTCACTTAATCTTCCAAATGACAGCCCTTCAAATATTTAAAAATGGCTATTATATCGCCTCTCAGTCTTCTTATCTCCTGGCAGAATATACCTAGTACTCAATTGTTCCTCATCAGACTTAGTTTCCAGAACTTTTACCATTCTGGCTGCTCTCATCTGGACATGTGGGAAATGAGGAAAACCAGGTACACGTCTGTTTTATGAATGTATTGTTTGAATGTGGTACTCACGTGAGTTCTGTTGGTCTTGTTGGGGATGTGAAAATGTTCTTCCTTGTTTTAATGGCTAGCTGCCTATTGGTTTCGCCCATCCTTCCTTTGCCTTCATCTTAGTCTTTTGCTTTCCAGTGACCCTGACTGTGTTGTGGGCAGGCCAAATTGTCCAGACCATCTGTTCCTTTGGAAGACCTTTCAAGAACTAACGAGAGTGGGTCTTCCGTATTGGCTGAACATAACTAAATGAATCAAGTTATGTGATTGTTCTGAATAACAGTGAAACGACTGCATCAACTTCTGAAGCAAACCTGCAGGTCTACACAGTGCCTGTCATACTGCACAACACCTCAGGGGCTTGGATGGAATGGCAAAAAAATAAAATAAAAATACCATATTTCTTTTTTTTGTAGAAAAAAAAATTAAAGCTCTGGGATTCGCATAGCTAGTCCCACTGTTCAGATAAGCTAATATACTTTTTGATCCTATGGAAATACAGCTAATTTCCATATGTTGCAAAGGCTTTAGGGAGGGGGACAGCAAGCATAAAGCTGGCTTAAAAACTTCAGTCAAATCGTTTTTTAGCTTCTTTTTTCGCTTTTCGCTTTTTTCTTTTCCTTTTTTTTTGGCAAAAGCATAGATTAGGACAACATGTTTCTTTTTCTGCAACTTTTGTTCTCAATCTAATTAGAGACAATGCACTTAATGATGATGCTGCTACACCAGACTGCTTTCTCTGAATCCCACGGAAGCTTGTTGCTTCTGGGCTACCTGTTCTGCCTTAAGTAGAGGGATACAATTATTAAAAAAATTAAAAAACAGAACCCTCAAATACTTCACAGAAAGGGGAGGGGGATTGGGGCTCTGTTCCTGATCCTGGACAGCCAGTGATTTCTCTTGCAAACTAATCCTGTGGAAAATTGAGTCAACAGAAGGAAACTCTTTGATATTTTTCTGCATCTGCACCACACACAACATTCTAAAGAAGCTGGAAATCCTAGCAATGCTTACTGAGAAGTGAGTCCAATTGAACTCTGTGGGACTTCCGAATAAGCATGTTTAGAGTGGGCCTGCAAATGCTCCTCTCTCTGCTACATCACACAGCCTGTCTCTTCTACAAAGCTCTCAAGTAGTTCTCTGTGAACTCAGGCCGCCTACAACTGCCCATCTGAACCAGTGCTTGCATTTCACTGTACACAGCAACTCTGAACTTGCCCACATCTCTCGCTCCACTATAAACTTGCAGGGTTTTTTTTTTCAAATAAAGGTTTCTTGAGATTTTCTGTCTGAATAATGCCCCATTTATGTGTGCGAGTTCTGCTAGTCTGTTACAGCGAACACAAGTATTATGGCAGCAGCTTTTGCTCAGTGGGTTGGAGCATCTGGCTGCAGAGGCAGGGGCTGGGAACTGGCCCCAATGTGTCTCGTGGGAGGGGGACCATCTAAGATCATGTGGAGTGTGGGATGGATGTCCTGCCCCCTGTATGCCCACTGGCAAACTGCATGGTCCTAGACTGCCATCAGAAGGAGGTACTGCCAAACCATTTCTGAGTACTTTATATCTAGAAAATCCTGGGAGGTTTGCCATTACATGGAATCATACTGATGGCACATAATTATTACTATTTTGCAGCCTACAGCAGTACCTTGACCTCTAATGTTCAGTCAGTTGCTCTGTCAACCACCACCCCGCCTGCATACTAGAAACAAATAGACTAATTTTTGATAAGGATATATTTATGGATATTCTTTTATTTTATTTATCATTTATGCTATGTTGGTGGGCACAGGGAAGAAGCATTGGGAGATGCACCAAGTGTCTAATGTTACTATTACAAAAAATCACAGACTGTCTGCAGGTGGATAAGTCAAAGGAAATGGCCCATTACAATTGAAGGTGGGCTTAGAGTATGAGGAAGAACTGAATTCTTAGTAATTGTTATGGAAACCTTATGCACTGCTTCATCTACATCTGCATCTCTCCTAGCCCTGGTATATGTGCCACCTGTGAAGAACCAACGAATTAAAAATCACTTCATCAAGCTCATGTCTGGTGCTCCTGGCCATGGTTTTTACTGTGCAGACACTTCCTTATAATGAAAGTTTGCAAGAAATCTAGGTATTATTGTTCTTTATTTTAAACCATCCTGTATCATCCTTTTTGTACTACCCTTTTCCTTACTAGAGAAGAGCTGGAATAGCAGCTGCATAATGCCTTTTAAATGTGACTAGTTGGAATCCTTAATCTGGAAAACCAGAAAAGTCATCTCTGTAGCTGCATGCATCTGATAAAGGGGACTCTAGTCCACAAAAGCTTATTATGCCATAATACATCTGCTCATTTTCAGGTAAGCATCTTCCACAGATATCTTCCCAGACCTTGGGTGTGCATACCCGTTCCTGCACCTCCTATCCCCAAATATACTTTTATTTGGGTTTTTTGTTTTAACCTGAAAAGCCTCCTTGCACTCTTCAGTGGCAATTTTTATTTTTATTTCGAATTGGGGGCATGGAGAGCCAAAGCATAGAAGAAACTGCCCAAAGACGAATCCCTCTCTACCTCCCTCCTTCTCAGTTGTTGTTTTTTAATGTGCAGGGTAATCAGGGTGGTGATGTCAAATATTAACATTTACTTTTAATGCTAAATGGGATAAGGAACAGCTGGCAAACCTAAGACACTTTCCTGTCCCTGTCTCACATACATGTTTTGTATCGGATTATAAATTAAGTAGACATGCTGTTAAATGATAAGTGAAAAGGAGATCTGGGTCTATAAGCAGAAATAGGGAGCCTGTGCTCTTCCAGATGTTGGACTATAACAACTCCCATCATCCCTCACCATTAGCTATGCTGGCTGGAGCTGATGGAATATCAAGTACAACAGCATGTAGAGGGCCAGAACTTCCCTGCCTTGAGTCAAGAGAACATAGAAACGATGCCTCTTCCAGGTTAGTGCAATAGGCTCATTCTCTCAGAACTTGAGGGAACTACAAGCTGCACAAGATAATTCAGTATTCTCAAAATGAAACAAATGCCCTGTTGCCAGAATCTTGTGTAGTTTAGGATTGTCTTATGAATCTCCTGAGCATCTTTCCCAGTGGCTGTTAAAGCCCTTATCATCCCTATATTTGTATAGTGCTTTTGGGTAGCAATCCTGAACGGCTGACATGCCACTGGATTTATTGGGATTTCAACAACCCAACCATGTCCAGAGTTGCAGCCTTTATGAAGTCATTTGTATTATTGGCCATCAAGTCTTTCAGGGGCTCTTCGGGCTATCAGTTTTATCAGTGGAGGGGCAGGAAGCCCTGAAATACCTATTTGTCACAGAGGCCAGGTATCTTCCCTCAAGCCAGTACTTCTGTGTTAGGGATATTGCATTTTCCAGGTAATCAAGCTTTGATGTTTTCTTAGTGGGAATATTTGATTCCCCATTCTTCTGACAGGCATTCTTGGCTATTGCTGCTGTAGTTTAGGGTGGCCACATATCCTGCATTTCAGAGGGTGGTCCTCTTGAAAAGAATTTTCTACTTTAGGGGGTAGGCAACTTTCTCAGGTATGGGACTGCATTTGGACCCAAAGAAGCCAACAGAGACTTCACCACTGGAAATTGACTACTGCCACAGCCAAAATGTGGTGGCTCTTACTGGGTTTCCCACCACCCCTGCAGGAAATCGCGAAATAATCCTCCCACACCAAAAAGCCCTGACAGTGTGCATGGTTGAGAATCTTTCTTGCTTTCAGAAAGGAAAGAAAGTGGATGCAAAAGACTTCTATGTTAGTTCTGTTCTGTTGCCCTTGAAGCAGAAGGAGATGTGGAAAGACAGGCATTGCTGAAGCACACATGGATGAACTGATGGATAGCTCAGTGGCTTAGGCTTCTGACTGCTGAGCCAGAGGTTCAGTGTTCAGATCCCCACAGTGCCTCCTTGACAGGGACTGGACTCAATGATCCATGGGGTCCTTTCCAGCTCTATAATTCTAAGATTCGAAGATCAACATAAAAAGAGGGTTCATTTAGTCTAGCATATTGAACAAAAGTCCCAGAGGCAGTTTGTGATGTTCTGCCAACTCCTGCGATGTTGCTGGAACCGGTTGTATTGGCTCTTGCCTTTCCATTGGACCATTTCAGTAACGTGGAGAGGGAGGCCCTGCTGCTTGGGTAACAGCCTATCCTCCATATTACTTTACCCAGGCTTCATGCTCTGGAGAGGACACTCCTCGATTCAGAGCATGTTGCCATAGGCTTTCGAGACTGAAGGATGCCTATGTATGTATTGAACAAAACCTGACGCTGGGGGAGACTCTTTGCTTTTTTTTACTGATAGAAGGTATGCAATCTGTCAGGGAGGCTAATTAAATTCTTCCCACCACATCCACAATTTCTGACAATGGCAAGTCACTGAGAAGTTAATAAGCATGGCATCAAAGCAGCTATCCTCCTTTGCTGTTTACTGTCTCTCTATTGTGCAACTGAAATTTCCACTCACCTAATAGCTTTCAACAGTTCAGTGGTTTAGGCATCTGGCTGTGGAGCCAGAGGTTGGAAGTTCGATTCCCTACTGTGCCTCCTGCAAGTACAGCCAGTCTATGGGGCCTTGAGCAAACTGCACAGGCCCAGGGTGTCCCCAAAAGAAGGGAATGGTAAATTACTTCTGTATGTTCGCTACCTAGAAAATCCTGGAAAACTTTGCCAGGTAAGAATCAACTTGATGGTGCACATGTTCACGCACGCGCACACAGACACACACATACAAGCTTTTGATAGATCTACCTGCTATTCATAATTTCACTGAGGATTGGGAGAATTTGGCTCTGAATAGATTTTGAACTTAATCACCCACAATCCTTTATCATTCATAGCTAATATCCAAAACTTCCAAAGGGTTTCCATCCTTGGTTTTAGCCATTTTAAAGCCATCTGCACCTTTGCTGCATTCTGCAATTAAACTTCATTTTTTAATTTCATTCATTATTTTAACATCATACAAAATTGTGGGAGTGATATATGGAGAAGCAACATATTCTAAAGAAATGAATAAACAAATTCAGAATTTAGCAGCCATTGCCACATCCAGTGCTTTATAAATGCTTTGGATTAGTTTTGTATTGTGTAAATCTGTGTATATATCATTTTTAATATGCTGCCAATCATATTGGATAGCTATGAGTCTGAGTTCTAGAAGTATGAAAAAGGAAAGAATATATCTCTATGCATTCTTTCCACACTATTCATAATTCAATAAAGCTCCATCCTATCCCCACCTAGCTCTTTTTTCCTAAATGAAAATGTCCAAAATACATGCTGCAAATTCTTGATCACTTTAATTGTCCTTTTCTGCACTTTTCCTAGCTCTTTTTGGGATGGGGCTATGGCTACCAGAACTGGGCAGAACATTCTCTGAATAGCTATGCCACTGATGT